TCCACCATCTTGGGAGACGAATGAAGCTGACTGGCCTAAACTAGGCCTTTTTGAAGAAGCCGGCGACGGTCTCGTCGACCTCCGCAAAGATACAAACTACTTTACCGTCTCGAACAACATTTTTCGCAAACATGACAAGGCCTTCGGCATCGGGTGGACAGAAAACGTCGTCGCTCGTGGCACTATTCACCACAACTGGTTTGACTCGACGAACCAGCGCAACCCTTCAGCTGACAACTTGGCTGAGGCACACTTGTACAACAACTTGGTCAGTGGTGTGACTTCGTACGGGCACTACGTTCGTGGTGCCACGACGGCTGTTATTGAGAATGTGTTCTTTGAGGATACGAAGAATCCAATTACGCGGGATGAAGGAGCGGCGCTCCGCACGAAGGGGAATATCTTCGAGGGCACTGGCGGGACGATTGCGAAGGATGCTGGAGAAGCCTTTGACCCGGCTTCGTACTACTCGTACACGTTAACGAAGACGGCGGACGTACCGGCCTTTGTGAAAGGCAATGCCGGACCTCAAAGAGCGGTTTGCTCTTGACAGGCAGAGACAAGTGCGAACTTGAACAATGAAGCATCCCCGATCACGATGCTCGTCGTGTATCAGAGGAGAAGAACCAAGAGAAACCCGGTCCGCCGTACGAGGGCATGCTCGTAGCCGAGGATATCATGCCCAGAATGTGGCAGTAGAGGGCCAGACCAAATCCAAAACGAAAGCAAAAGAAAAGAGATGACATGGAGTAAACAAACGGGTTAAGAAATGCCTCCTCCAGATGCCAGCTGCTAGACCCGACTTCGAATGCCCACCCCAGGATTGCCATACGGTCCCTCTGGAGATCTCTGATGCCAAGCCCTCCTGGCGGTGGGTTAGTGTCTGCGTAGACTGGGCTGGCATGTGGGAGCCCCGGAGCTATAGACTCGGCCGTTCTGCGGAACCCCATCTCGGAGAAAAGGGGGAGGGGACCAGGGCGCAGATTTGACCGACATGATGGCTGCCAACCGACGCCCAAACTGGAGGGGCGCAGGCATGCCCCTGGGGATATGTTGTGGCATCCGGAATCCGGAACCTAGGGCCAAGTGAGGGTCACATCGAAGATACCTGCAGGGTCAGGTGCATCGCGAGGCGTCACAAGCGCGCACGAAGGTTGCGAGCAACATTTGGCTGCGCCTAGGTACCGCCGCACCGGGTTGATGAGGCTGCAGAGATGATCGATAGGACCGACATACAGCTTACAGCTCGGGCCTAACGGTTCCTCCCGAAGTGTGTCCTTTGCCAGGTTGCAGGCCTTGGCTGCCCACGGCTGTATAGAGACCATGGCGGACCAGGGCGCGTTCCAGCCTCCATTGCCGTTTCGGGCACATCTCTCGCCGTCTGGCATGGTGATGCCGCACCGAACCCGGGTTCATGACCCCTACTTCACATCGCAAAGAGTTTAGTAGTGTAAAACGGGTGTGCACCGACACCCCCTGGCAACTATCGTGTGAGTTCCATGGGAGCGGTTCAGGCATGCACGCTTGCTACATCCGGATGGTTCGACGAGGCTGAGGCTGAGGCTGATATGTTGGACATGTACTACACTGTCTGCTGATTCGGAATTGGAGAGCTTGTTGGACGCGATAGGTGTTGCTTTTAGTTCCATTTTTGTCTTCAGCAATCCTATGCTCCTCCAGGGCACAAGGCGTAGCTGAGGCATCCATCAGCCATCACGGGAAAAGCGCGTAGGCTCTCCTCTGTATTGCTCGGTTTGCTTTCGCAGGCAAAGAGAATCATGTCTAGATCGACCCAGTTTAACTAATAGCCGTCGGCAGACAGCTTTGGCCATCGCCACGTGAGGAAGCTGAGCTCGTGTGCTGTGACAGCCGCCACGTTACTAGGCGAGCGGACAATACCGTACGAGTCATCCTCGTGCCATGCCTCAAAGCAGGGAGAATTCTGAAAGCGTCGTCGTCCCAGACCCGAATTCCAACGAAAGTAGTCCCACGCTATGAATAGTTGGACCGACCCGTAAGCGAACGGCCCACTCCGCCAAAGAAGCAAGCCAGGCTTTGGTGGTTCCAAGGCTACCCCCCTGCTCGTCTGCCGTTACGCGACGAAAAAGGACACAGACATGTGGAGTGGTTGACGTCGAAGGCGGCGGGCGGCGCCCGGGGAGAGCATGGGGGAGAGCAGGGGTTGTCGGCCAGGGGCAGGCAGGTCAAATCGGTGGGGAAGTTGGAACGAGAACTGTAATCACGAGGGGACGAGCTGTGGAGAAAGATAGGTGCCCAGACCCAAATGCTCCGAAGGGAGGCCGGCGCCATCAGTCACTGGTCCACTGTTCACAGCGTCTGTTGTGTTTTGCCCCGTCCGGAGACCCCGTGATTTCCCTAGGGGTTTTTTTTTTCTTCTTTTCATTCAACCCTTGACGTCCCCGTGGGAATGGTTCGTGTCGTTGAGGAGTATTAGATTTTGGCGATTTCTCGGGTGGAGGGTCTATGTTTGACCTTCAAAAAAAATGTATGCGGTTGTGATTCAAAGGACTGACAGCACAAAGGGACACGCGAGGTATCCCGCGTGGTTATGAGACAACCTCAATACGATTGTTTCTAGACGATACCGTGTCTTTCATCTTTCGTTGCCAAAACCTCCACGCAAGCGGATGCGAGTCTTCCATGCCAGAACCGCATTCTCTGGACAGCATACGATCGCTAACGGATGCCACCATAGATGAATCTGCAGTGGCATATCAGGCCTCCGACCCCGAGAAAAAGGACCGAAGACGGACAAGTCGGCACACCGAATCAGTGTGTGTCAGGGCGGCAAAACGTAACTGTAGTGAAGGGAGTCGATCAAGTGTTGCTGTGCAGGACTGGAGGTGGGCCACGGCAATGCCTGGTTCGCGTGGCCCCATGTTCCGGCCCAGCTTTACCCCGACAACGCAGAAGTGTCAGCACAGGTAGTAAAACTCGACAGAAAGGGTCTCATGACCTGTTCTCGAGTTTGATGCATCTTCGAAACGAGCGAAGCCGAGTGGTCTGGCGCGGAGACGACTCGGCCAATTTAGCCAGGCGGCGGCGCATGGGAGTGAGGGCTCCAGGCAGGTTTAGCGCGTCGAGTACCGCCGAGCATTGGGCCACCAAAGACTTTGCGTTCGTAGGGACGACGGGGGTCCAGGGTGGAAACAAAGAGCAGATGTTGCAGCGGCTGAGCGGGTAGATTCTCGTGTGGGAGGGCGGCGAGTGCGAGTGATTGGATACCGAGGGGCCTTTTGCGGT